GAACCCCCCCCCCCCGGATCTTCAGTTCATCTATATCTATGCCAGGGGTCTCTAACCCCTGGGCCACGCATACAAGCAAAGCCCCATCCACGGGATGCAGGCAGCATGCGAAACCACGACGCCTCCGGTCCACGGAACCGGTCCCTGGTGCCACTGATCTAAAGCCATAAAACGATCTGGTTTTGACTTAGTTTAACGTGCGAGAACTGGACCGATGCTTTGATTTCAGTACCGGCCTAGCCTGAGGTGTGCCCCCCGCCCCAAGATATACTGGGAAAAGGGCCACTAAAATCACACAGATTTATTCCAGACTTAGCCACAGCAAACAGAATCATGGGCACCATGTTGCTTCTGCTGTCTTTTTCTCTCTCTCTCTCTTCTCCAGTTACCAAGTTCATTAACTACTACGGGAACTGTCATCAATGACACCCCTGTAAATTTGTCAGCAGCTGATACAGACATAACTTATCAAGCAGTTCTTGAATGTGGAAATGCCCAGTCTTTAGAGCAATTAAACGAACAAACAAACAAAAATGTGCCAGGCCAGGTTTTGAAATAAAATAAACCAGAGGGCAGGATCCTTTAAACTGTGTGTGTGTGTGTGTGAGTAAATGGGAGGCTCAAGCTTGGGTGAAATTAAACAATTAAACCTTTGTTTGGGTGACAACTGGGAATCTTTTCAAGGGGACAGGAAACGGTTCTTTTTGGGAGCTTTTTGGAGAAGAGAAGTTAAGCGAAAGAGGCTTACACAGTGGGAATTAAATTCCATGCACTGTTTGCTCCTCCCGGCTCCTGATGGAAAAACTTCAAAACAGTTTTTTTTTTTTTTTGGGCTCTGCTACGTCGTCCGGTGAAATCTGAGCACTTCCGGTTCTCTAGGGTGGCTCAAGTTCTAAGTCAAGGGCTGGATTGAAGCATTTCAAAAGAGACGGCTTCTGAGGAAGTGCAGAGTGCTCTTCCACCTGTCCCCAGCTGAGCCCAGCTCAAGCTCCCTCATCCTGGATTAGAGCCCAGTGGTTCAAAATGGCAATAACCATTTTGTCCTTGCCCATCATCCTGCCAACAAAAGAGCGTATAGTCAAGGCGATGGTTTTCCCAGTTGCAATGGATGGCTGTGAAAGTTGGACCATAAGGAAGGCTGAGGGCCAAAGAATGGAGGCCTTTGAACTCTGGTGCTGGAGAAGACTCCTGTGAGTCCCTTGGACTGCAAGGCCATCCAACCGGTCAGTCCTAGAGGAGATCAACCCTGACTGCTCTTTAGAAGGCCAGATCCTGAAGAGGAAACTCAAATGCTTTGGCCACCCAATGAGAAGGAAGGACTCCTTGGAGAAGAGCCTCATGCTGGGAACGATGGAGGGCAAAAGAAGAAGAAGGGGACGGCAGAGAAGGAGGTGGCTGGATGGAGTCACTGAAGCAGTCGGCGTGAGCTTAAATGGACTCCAGAGGATGGTAGAGGACAGGAAGGCCTGGAGAAATGTGGTCCATTGGGTCGCGATGGGTCGGATATGACTTCGCAACTAAAAACAACAACAACAAATTCTTCTCTTGCAAGTTTGGACTGTGCCATGCAGAACCTCACTTGAAAGAATCCTGACCCACGGGCCACGGGCATGCTCATAGGGTAAAAAACAGGTTACTTCCTGGTTAAAACCAGGAAGTAGTGACGATTGGATGGAGCCTTGCGCCGCCATTGCTACCAGTTCTCTGAACCACTGTCCGCCATCGCTACCGGTCCAAACCAGGAGCATTTCACCCCTATCCTGACCCTCTTCATCCCCTCAATTTCAAGCAAGAGGAAGGGGAAAAGAAGCAAGGAGAGAAGCAGTTTTTCCCATCACAGTCTAATCTAGAGCCCAGAAGTCAATAGGCCTGGAAGGGACCCCAAAGGTCTTCTAGTCCAACCCTCTGCTCAAGCCAGGAGTCTCACTCTATCCTGATGGAACAGTTGTGATCCCGTCTATCTCCTAAAACCCCCAGCGATGGAGTTCATCTAAGTTACCTTCTAGGCATCAAAAGTCCCCAAACTGTGGTTTTTAAACCTTGAAACGTAATCACGGATCGCCACAACAAGCTCGTGTCTCCTGCCTTGCGTCTTGGCCTCGAAGCCGACTTTGAGAAAGGCAGGAAGCAAGAGATGACGTTATCCAAGGGGGGGAAGTCACTGCTAGACGGCACCTATCACATCTGTAGCATCTCACCCTTAAAAAGGTTGGGCCTTGAGCATATAAATTAAAGCATAATAATAATAATAATAATAATAATAATAATAATAATAATAATAAGGCAGACTACTGAAAAGAGAATACACGATGTTTGCCTTTTTACCTTTCAGCATTTTATGGAGTTGTAAGATAAAATAAGATGCAAAACGGGTAAGTAAATAGGAAAGCAGTGGGGGGGGGGAGGGAGGTTGCATTTAATCAAGTTCATCCCGGTTTGGTTTTTAAAAGAAGGAGGAATGGCGGTGCTGTAATCTAGACAAGCTCAAAATCTCAGAATTCTCAGCCTGGCCGGGACAGCCTCTTTCCCCAGAATGCAACTGGCCATTTCCATAGACAGCTATATAGATATATACATCTATATATCAGTGGTGGGTTTCTAATTTTTTTACTACCGGTTCTGTGGGCGTGGCTTGGTGGGCATGGCAGGGGAAGGATACTGTAAAATCTCCATTCCCTCCCCACTCCAGGGGAAGGATACTGCAAAATCCCTATTTCTTCCCCACTCCAGGGGAAGGATACTGCAAAATCCCTATTTCTTCCCCACTCCAGAAGGATACTGCAAAATCCCCATTCCCTCCCCACTCCAGGGGAAGGATACTGCAAAATCCCCATTCCTTCCCCATTCCAGGGGAAGGATACTGCAAAATCCCCATTTCTTCCCGATCAGCTGGGACTTGGGAGGCAGAGAATAGATGGTGTGTGTGTGTGTGTGTGTGTGTGCAGTCAGAATTTTTACTACTGGTTCTCCAGAACTGGTCAGAACCTGCTGAAACCCACTTCTGATTTATATCTATATCTATCTACCCACCCCATCCCACTCCACCCCCTCCCTCCCTCCCTCCCTCCCTCCCTCCCTCTCTCTCTCCATGCATCGGCCTGTATACTGAAGCCTCCCCCACCTCCAGTTTTTGGCAAGGAGGAGGAAAACAGGGTCTGGCGGACGACAGCTGTTTCCCAGGCCAGATGGGGAAAAAAAACTGTCAAAATAATTTGAAAATATTCCTGTTCGTTTCAGAGGGACATGCAAACCCTTCCGCCCCCACTTTCCCAAAGATCTGCTCACAATACACTTGGAAAGGCTGCAGGGGGAGAGAGAGAGAGAGAGAAAGAGAAAAAAAAAAATCACAATCCACCAGTTCCCAGGGCTGCTGTTTGTTTTAGTAAGCGTGCCCACGGTAGGGTTGGTGCATGTGTGTTAAAGTTCGCTTCTCCAAAAGCCGGTTTTTCCGTCCCTCCAAAAAGAGAAAAGGGTCATTAAAATGCAAATTTTTGTTCTTGCCCTCTTCCCTTGATCGCCCATTTGTGGGTCAGGCCAGCAGCGGTGACACAACAGGAACAAAAAAAAAAAGAACAACTTTGTAGGAAGCAGTTTCTCGTCCCCAATGGATTGGAGGGGAGGAGATGGGGGGGGGAGGGAGATCCGTGTGTCAAAGCCGCCATTAATTCCGCACCGTTGACAGCTCCTTGGGTCATAGAACGGGGAATTTCAACAGATGCCCTTTGTACCAGGGAGGGGAAACAAAACAAAAAAAAACCCCGCCAGGTCCCCGTTATTCAATTAAAAAGAAAAGCATGAGTCACAATCACAAGAACTTCCTGCCTCCGTTCAGAGCAAGCAACCCACAACAGGCAGGGCTTGTGCAGTACTGTCACCGAGCGATTTTTTTTTAAAAGAATTCGTCCAAAACCTTGGAAATAAAAACGCCTGAGCCGCCACAAAAACACCAGAGGAGGAAAACACACGTTTAAAGCTGTTTTCACCTACGCGGGATGGATCACCACAAGAATCCAGAGGCTAATAGATAAAAACACTTAGTGGATTTAGGCCAATTCCAACCACCTAAGATCTTCTGTTTAGTTTAGTTTACTTTATTGTCGTGGCACACGGTACGACGAAATTAAATGCCTTCTTCAGTGCATGTTAGAACTATTAACAATAAAAATACAAACATACATATCCCTTTACATTCTATATCATTGAAATCGAAAACCCCGATATTGCACTATACCGTAGAATTCAGTATGGTTATCGCCCTGGGAGAGAAGCTGTTTTTCAGCCTTATTTGTCCTTGTTTTTAGTATCCTGTACCGTCTGCCAGATGGTAATAGTTCAAAAAAAGAAAAGAAAAAAAAAGGAGGGGGTGCCCAGGATGAGATCTGGGATTCCTCTGTCTCTTTTTTCCAGCAGTATAAGCAGGGCACCCCGTCCAAAATTACATCCAGATCATTGGGGGGAAAAAAACTTTGCACATGTCAAAGGAGAACCAATCCTGAAATCAGCTGACAAAACCATGCCTTGCCAGTCCCCCAAATCAAGGAGAACGGAAGGACCACGATCTGATTTAACATCTACCCAACACAGATCTGCCCTTCCCTGAGGCGCAACTAAAACAGCTTTTAACACTGCCGTCCTTTAAATCACCAACCTCTTCCTGAGTTTGCAAAAAACGCTCAATTATGACTCCATTTCCACTTCCGACACGGGGTTAAACAAGCTCGGATCGATCCCAGAAGTTCTCGGGGGGAGACGAAGACTTCCCGACAAACCAGCGGATCTCAAAACTCCGACGGTGTCTTTGCACAGGCAGACGCAAATATCCCCAGAAACATTCGACCGAAGGCCCATCAAGGGTTAAAAAAGGCTCCTCCGTCACAGCAAATGGAGGAATGCAGAAAGGCATTTTAGCCAGAGATATATGTGTGTGTGTGTGTGTGTGTGTGTGTGTGTGTGTGTGTGTGTGTATGAAACAAGTTACATAAAAGTCCAGGGATACTCACCGTCTCCTTATTGGGGAGCAATTCTTTTCGGATCCTGAAAAAGTTCTTGCCGTACTGCCGGAGGCCTTTAATGAACCGCTT